CATAACCATCGCGCAGTTATCAAGCCCGCATCCGACACGGACAACAAAATTGCCGCAATTAATGAGTCGAAAGTGAAGTGTCAAGCCATGACCGCACCAATTAAGACCCCAAGTGGTGGTTACAGGAACTGATCATTATAGTACGCATGCGGATGACCGCTACGAACTATAAATACCGTGCAATCTATGCATGTATCATCCCAATCTGCGCATGTCTCACACTATCTTACGGCTATCTATGTTTAAGGATTCTCGACAGAATCCGAAACGTCAGGAAAATAAAATTCCTGTTCCAGTTATCGCATCTTCTTCTGAACCGCTTCCTGAATATCGCATATTCGCTTCCATCCGTAATCGAGTAATAAGTTTTAGGTAAATAGGATTTTTGTAGAAGGCCAGAAGGATGCGTTAGCACTTTGGTGTGACTAAAGCATCCTAAAATCCTGTTGTGTAATCGTCAATAGTGCATCCCTAATAATTCATTCTGACTGACAACATCCTTCACCCTTTTATAGTAGCAGTTCGTGAGAAAATAGAGGTATAACAGTTATTCCTCAGAGGTTGTTGGAGCATCTTGATATGCCCCATCGGTCACCTGCAGAACTTTACGAACGATACACTTTCTCTGGTTTTTGAAAGCTCAGTACTTTCCAGTAGACCGGGGACGCATACAACTCTAAATTTGGTTGTGAGCTTCGTCGATATCAAGGACTGCACATCATATGATCGATGTGCTTGGTGTATACAGTGACAGCTTTGCCGTCGCTTTCAGTGTCTGCTGTGAGTCCCACAGCAAGCGGGGCATAGAAAAGGTGTCTTGTGTGTGAATTAGATTATAACGATCGTGGGCTTGCACAGCACCTGGCACACACTCCTACCTCGTGAACTTGGGCACGGTGTCATGACAGAGTCGGAAAGACCGGCGGCGAAGGCAAGTGCAGGTGATGGGCGCGGCGTGAGCCTAAACCCAGGCGTGATACTCTCACCCCCCTAATCCGCGCAAACTGGGCCAGGATTGTACAAACAAAAAGAGAGGGCGGACATAGGTTACGTTCAGTACGTTGGTCCAACACCTATACTTTCAAGTAAAATGCGTACAACCGGATAACTTATTCCCATTGGCCTTGACGAATAAAAGCGTTCATTCACCTTCCCCAGGCTGGATGAATCAACTATTAAGTAGCAATTAATAAAGAACGTTGAGTCACAGAATTGTCTTTCAAAGACTATTGCTTTTTCCACAAATCGTTCAACGGTTCTGTATATATTTCTTTTGAAGGACTTTCGCTTATTGAGAATTTACATTCAAAATATTTTGAATCTTATTGCTATTGCAAATATTAATGCTAGGTAGGACAGTCGGTCGCGCGTTTTTTTTTTACTTTTACTTAGCTACAGTGTAGTCCTCTCGTTAGATGGCAAATTCTACCTTTATTCGGCATTTGCTCGTGAAGTTTTCGACGCTGATTCCTCGTGTCGTTTTCTGACCTATACCTAATGCACATAATAGGGAACCATTTAAATTCATCTACGAAGAACTACTTGGCTGACTTTAGCGGCAGTAAGCGATTGAGATACGCTACCATTCTGTTGGGCTTTACCGCCAGCTTTTTCATTTCTCCTCACGATTTATTGACACGACATCCAATTCAGTGGGCAGACAAAACCGCCAGGCAAATATCAGTTTATAGGTCTGTTTAAAAATTTGACTGCTTTGCATTTTTGCTCTACGTCTGACGCCGACCTTAAGAAGCGGTGTCAAAAGTTAACAGAAGCATGTTTTTTTTATCTAATTGGAGTCTGCTAAAATACTCTGTAAAAAGAGTAGACTTAGACAACAAGAAGTCTGTCTATATGAATGGAACGCAGGCAGAGGTTATTGTGCTATCGGTCCCTTGAGTTGTCTTAAAACAAAAATCTTCCTTTTTGGGCGCAGGTCTTTGTAAAAGAAAGCATATAATACCTTTGTGTTGATCTCCTCTGCGGTATTCAGTCGACCCCATTAGTACCATACACCATTTGGCGGGGCAGAGACTATAATTTCGCATAAGTTCAACCTCAAATGGCCTTAAAATATTGTTTAATTGTTTGCATGGGTCGGAGGTTAATACACTCCTCAGTCGAACAGTATCGGATTACACAAATATGAAGTTTTGTAGTTATTTTTGTGCTAAACCGAAGAACATGTATCCTGGGAGATACACAATGAGCACCGTCTTCAATAATATCCTATTCATTTGCTTCCAGAAAGGTCTCTAAGTTTTTGCCATGTTGGTTTAAGCGCCGCTATATTCAAATATATAACCAGTTCAGTAGAAAAAATCAAAAGTGACGTTAATTTATTTCCTTATCACGCGTTAAACACAAACTACCTGCTCTTTAATCAAGTGTTAATCATTTACCCACGAATTCCGCTACACACTTTGGCTGGGAGACTTTTGCCATTAGGCGGCCCTACCACTTATTCTCACAATTTCATGAATTAGGTTATTCGCCATATCCGAATATGCTAAAGCGTTCTTCATGAACTGCATTTTCTCGTGCAACTGGGCTGAAAAGCTACGTAAGGTAAGAACCCTACCTTGTACTTATGCTGCTGCAAATGGGATATCAAGTACTTCAGACCGAATTTTTCTGCTGCGAATAGGTCAAATGAAAGCCACCCTTTTCTCTTTGTTCCAGGTAATCCGGATGAACTATTGGACAGTCGCAGGGCAACGTATGGTGCTGGCTCAACCACACGACCTGGTCAGTGGGCAGCTCGTAACAAATGACATAATGCCCACGGTGGACGCTGTACTCAACCAAGTTCACAGCGTGGGCAACGATGGCTATTACGTTGGAACCAATGGTCAGTGGACCTACCACAACAACAATTGCCGAGTTTTCAAACGTTAGGTTTCATATATTCCACTAAGATACAATTGCCATATGTTAATAAAGAGTCGAAAAGCACTCACCTCTCGGTATTTTTTTTGACCATGTCGCTCTAGTTATTTAGGCAGAATTTGCTTAGTTCACCTACTTTAAGGAGGATTCTAATAATGCTGTCCATCTACATTACCGTTCGAGGTATATGTCCTAGGATTTCGTCTTCTTGCTGTGTCGAGTTCCGGCAGCTGAATCGATTAACTGGTCATGGAAAATGTGGAACACGAGGGTATTTTCAAGCACGCCATTATGTAAACCCAGATTTATCTTTCATAGCAAGGGAGTTTCAGTTGTCCAAACTCTTCACGTCGGTTGCAAATGTTGCCGGCAGTATAGCATAATGGTAATGACTCAATATAATTATACAGTTGCAAGCTAAACTGCCATACTCAGCGTCGCATTAGTCCCAGTTTCGCAGGAACCAATTAAATCCGACGTTCAATCGTGAACGGGGGACGACAAAAGTAAATCAGAAGTATGAGGCCCCCAGCGGGAGCTGTGAATTCAAGCGCGGCTTGGGTCAATTTATCGGCACAACTTACTGCACAAATGGAATTTACCCATTCCGATACGTTAACTGGACTGCTCAAACAGAATTTCCTATGCTATAAATCTAAAATCCATCAGATAACTATCAGACTCACTTACTTAATATGGGGAAGGGTCGTTCACAGGTTTAAAAATTAATCTGACTTCGTCTCTAATACTTATCGAGAATGTGCAACCGCCGGCAAAATCTAGGGTAAAGTAGAGCGTCTATATTCCGCACCTTACTGAGGAACCAGGCCAATACAACTTTAAACGTAAAAGAAGCTATGCACTCACCGATCGGTTACAGGACTCACTTGTCCTGCCATGCTTTGGAATGATCTCTTGAGCCCCTCCAACAGCCGCACTGCGGCTAAACACACAAACAGACTGACATTACCGACAGTGGTAAGGGTGACTGGAATGACCATTTCTTGCTTATTAGCCGTGAGTATCTAATTATACCCAACTCCGGGTGTTGTGGCGCCCAAAGCTCTGTTGACTAGAAGTCCAAAGCTCTGCCTACTGCGCCGTGGGCTTGTATGACCAATAAGGAATTGGAGTCGTTCTAGTTGATGCCCCCTACTGGTTTCGCAAATTCCAGAAACATGGGCAATAGCACATGAAATTTTTCCAGGACCCACTTCCTTCCCATGTATTTGAAATTCAACAGAATGCAATAATCCATGTCTCAATGTTAAGACGGACAAATGTGGAGTATTTTGTTCAAAAAATGTATAGGAATCTCCGCTAAAACTTGTATTACCCCCGCATTTCTGTAGACTTTAAACCTCTCCTTCAGAGCCCTGAGGATAAAAAAGTATTGTGAAAATGAAGGAACATCCGTCTGATTGCAATTACTTGGCCCTTCTTGCCGGCTTTTACTTTATTCTACTTTCAGGAAACGTCAAACAGGATAAACGGTTCATAATTTACAGTAATACTGTGCCAACTTTAAAAGACCCCAAGACATTCCCAGCACCAGCTTATAATGAAAAGAATGCGTTAAAATCAATTAAGATGGATTAAACCGTCATCATTCTTCCTGCGAAAAAGGAGCTTCTCCTGCAGTTGTAAGCAGGACAAATTACATATACAGGAGAACATTTATGTTAAAAAGCACACCAGTAACTGTTGCCCACACGATGTCACAAAATTCAGGTTTTAAATAATCGTTTGTGTCTCTTCGCAAGACAATTAATTTCAGTGATTTTCGCTAATTCTCCGAAAAAGAAGGAATCCATATTCTTAACGGCTGCTCGAAGACTCACACGATCGCGAATGGTGTACGTCAAAGCACGGTTCTGGATCCTAAATAAGTTTCTGGATCTGTTAGTCTTCCTTCTATAGATCAAGGGTATTTATCAGAAGTCAGAAGTTCGCAAACGTTCATTCATACGGATGATCTCAACTGTATTTATTCCTATTCTAAGGATACCACAAATATTTGTTTATCCACATGGATTTCAATCTGGCAGATGGAATTTCCGTCGTCAGGGGCATTTTCATGTGCTTTGACCCTTCAAAGCCTCCTGGCTCCGTTATACTCCAAAATAGTCCATTCTCAGAGTTCTCCACAACTAAGAATCTAGGTTTCAGTTATACAAATAAGCCTAGTTTATCAGCTTAAGCAAATTGTATTTCTGCAAAGGCTGCACAGATATGTGGGTTCATATCCCATAATTTTTCCTCCCGGAAATTAAATGAAATTTCTGTTTCTCTTTCTTTCCCTTAATATTTCTGTTCTTTCGCCTAATGAATGCCTCTGACCGCAGAAAAATAGAACATGTTCGAAGCGTGTTTACTCTAAGTCTATCTACTCGAGCTGAATCCAGCATTTCTTATACTTAGAGAAGCAAAATGGCAAGCATTAAGTGTTTGTGGGTAAGAAGAGTTAAGGCTGGCCTATGCTTCCTGCTTCGCATTAACTCTAGCCATAATTCTCCACGTACATACTGGCTCTCTCATCTCCTCCCCCCAGTGGTGGGCCTTATGCTAGGTGTCATTCCGCCTCTATGCTCTACGTCTAAATGTTCACCATGTATTGCGTCCGAATATTCCTTCCTTTGGAATGATCTCTCTCTAGGCCTTAGGTCATTGCCAAAAATATTGACACTCAAACTGAAATTATGTAAGCACCTTATCCCCAGAAACCATAAATCCTTTACTGATAGCTTCATTTCCTAACACTTAACTTCTTACTATAAAAAAGGGCTTCTTGTGATTTAAGGACTATTACTACATATCTTACTTGTTCAAATGAAAACCCACACGTAAGTATTTACAACCCCTGTTTTTAACTGGCTGCGAACTCCACCAATTTTATCCACTCCCACTGCACTGATGATTTCCACGGCGTTTAACGTCATAATCTCATTTCGACCCCAAGCGATATGTTGACCACCACGGTGGAGTCCTCTGTTCTCGCCATCCGCTAGTAGTTTGGTCAGTCAGCAAAGAAGTATCATTGTGAGATCTCCCGCATTTTGATCCTCGTAGCTTTTAATGTACCCTTCTCGCTTAAACTCTAAATGGACTGTGATTGATAGCGATTGGTTCCTCCTATCTCGACAGCTGGATGGTTGCTTCTGATATCGTCCAAAAATATGATGATCCCCCCTACGACAAACAGCCTTATTCGATTAAGGCTGCCTACCGTGCCGAGGAACAGTTCTGCCGCTAAATACCCTCTCCTGTAAGGGTAAAGCCATTCCATTCACATACTTCCCGTGAGCGACAGTTTTTATCCTATATAGCTAATTACATCACATTCATTCGGTCACTTTCGACCAAATTTGAAGGAGTTTTTCACTGTTCACTAACATATTTTGGCAGGGCTGACTTTAGAGGCTTGAAATCCAATCGGCTTATAATAAATAACTATTTTTTAATTATTCAGAAGCCCGAATTTCCATTTTTCCCGTTAAATTCCATCGATAGGAAGTCGAATTTGTATTTTCGTTAAATTCCGCCTACATAAGGTCGAATTTAACTCAACTGCCATCCGTAACCTGTGCAACAAGAGTTCATGTTGATGGAATTTTATCCTATTTTAGTGCACTAAATCAAACATTCTCTTATTTTATGTAATATTTTTGATTACTTCCGTCACAATTACCTATTCATTTACACTCACTAGCCAAGAATTGAATGTTTGGCAACAAAATAGGTCAAGCACTTGGGCGGGGGGATAGATGTTTAGCGGACCCTACAGTTCACTTTTGCCGATATTTTCATATGAGACTACCCATTTTATCAGTTGGGAACTCGGGCACGAAAGCTTTATTCCTTCAATAAATTGAATCGCATTAACTTCAACTGTGCATTATACAGTATGTGCTTACTCTTATTAAAATTCGCACGAAAATGTGTTTATTTTTGCAATTAATATATCTTTGCGGCGACGGAATAGAAGAATGGGCAGGACTGACTTAAGAGGCTCTAAATCTCGTCGACTTATTATAAAAAAACTACTTATAAATTTTCAGTAGCCCGACTTTCCATTTTTCCGTTAATTTCCACCGATCGGAAGTGGAATTTACATTTTTGTTAAATTCCGTCCACACAAGGTCGAACTTCTCTCAATTAGCATCCGTATCCGGCGCAACAGGAGTTCATGTTGATGGAGTTTTATTCTATTGTAGTATATTGAAACAAACATAATCTTATTTTATTTGATATTTTAATGATCACTTCTGCCGCAATTAAATATTTATTTACACTCACTTACCAAAAATTAAGTGCTTAACCACAAAAAACGTTAGGCAGCTGGGCGGGGTGAATAGGTATTTAGAAGCCCCTAACAGTCAGTTTTGTGTAAATATGTTTGTTTATTTATGATTACCAAAATATACGGAGCTATTAAAGCTCAGGAGATTTCCGGGGTAGTGATCCGTCAAGGGACCACCAGACTGCAAAAGCCCTATGGTCAATTTTCTTACGGAAAACGTGGTTAAAGGTCTAATGCTTGATCAAGACGTGGATAATGCGTGTATAATGCGGGGAAAGTGCACAGTAGAAAATAAATTAAAACTGCTTATAATTGTTCGACTGAACTAAAAATTACGGGAAAGCATGGGGAAAAGATAAACTCAATCAACATTAACTCATATTGGTCAGCAAAGGATGCCTATAGACCAATATAGATATTAAAACGACTCATATTGGTTAATATAATGAAGGAAATGTTTGGATAGGCGGAAACGCAACCTACTAAAAATTTGCAAGTAAATGGTTATAATCAATACCAACCCTCAGGCGGCCCTCTATGGATGGTTACCGATTTCCAGTTCATTGTGACCGACAGTCTATTTGGTCAGTTAACTGGGTACAAGATATTGAAGTGGCTATTTACTTCTAATCTCTCCACATATAAAGTATTTCAAAACCTCTACTCCAAACTCAGTGCATTTTCTATACTTGATCAAAGGACTCAAAATTGCAGGTGACGAGATAATCATAACATTCGACATCGTTCCTCTATTCACGTCTACTCTTCTGACCTTAGTTTAGTAGGCAAACTGTCGGAGAACGGAAACCGCGCTGATCGCTCACAGACGGCCCCGCTAAAAATATAAATTGCGATTCTCGATAAAGTTCACTTCGCTGAACAGAGACAAGGGGAGAAGTTGCGTGATGAATGCACTTTCATCTGTAGAAAACGTTTAACGACCGAGGAGAAGAGATTGGAGTCTGCATCGCCATTAGCAGCAATCTCATGAGGCGACCGTGCTGCCCACTGCGGGGTACGACAGTTCGCTACATGACCACGGAGCTTTCATAACGAAGGTTAAAATCCGCTAAAACTAGCGGCTTCCGTTGTGTTCATTACCCGTCTCGCCGCAATATACGTCAACTTTCCTTTCAAGCATTGACCCTCATCTCCTATTTGCAGAATGACTTTTCTATCTTAGGCTCATGTATATGTCGGTGCTTCTTCTTTACAGTATGCGTGGACCAGGTGTGTGTGGTAGGCGTAAGGGAGTTCCTGACCTTGTCAGCATTTACGTCCAGGACTGCCTCTGGTGTTCTTGATTCTATTTTGACTCAAAATCCAAAATGGAGATGGATGAATGAGTGTGGTAAATGTTGCACAAGTATACTATCAATATAAATTAACTCGTGCGCAATTTACTGTTTCTGCGCTCACCTTGTTGGGGAGTACACGATGGGCATCTTCAATAACGATGATCAAACTCTCAAACTTCCTGTGCGTTGTCGGCAGGATGAACCCACCGATCATGTGGTGAGCTGCGTCGAAGCAGTCTTAACTATTTGATTATGCGGTAACAGTTGAATTTAGGTTCCCAAACAGCACCTGAAAACCCCATCCTTCTATAATATCGGACAAATTGTCATAGAGGAAATGGGTGGGCATATGAGGAGAACGAAAAAAATTTTTAAAAATAGAGTGTATAAAAGAAGTAAATAATAGTAATAACTATTCAAACAATTAAATAACCCAATATTTACTCGCAGTTATTTAAATGGCCCAACAGTGCAAAATCGGACAAAATCGCCGACTCTGTCATCTCTATAAATAGAGATTATCTTGAGATTGTATAGAGGTAATATGGACTTGAGATTGACTCAACGATTGTGTGCAATTGGGCACTGTTCGGCCATTTTAATTATCGCGCGAACCTAAATTGAACTGGTACCGTTCCTGTGCCTATTGTGCCTCGGACTTTATTGGTAACAGAAAGTGAGGATTTATCCTATTAGAAAGCTAATTCCCATTAGAAGGTGACACGTCCTTTTTCCACACATCGCGATTAATTTTTCATGTGTGGTGTGAAAATAAGGGTTTCTTTTGCCTGGGCAACAGGTTGAATCATAAAGCTAGATGAACACTTTCCACCTGGATTGCTTGTATTCGTCTATACTTCGCACATTTGAATCTGAAACTTGCCACAAGGCAGAATTTGGCCAGCCTAATTAAGTGTTCCGCCTTAATTCCCTATCACCTAGTGGTACAGGGTGTGAAGTAGTCCAACATAATTACGATTGCGAATAATAAAATATCATTTTGTGCTAACTGCTATCGTATAAGTGTTTTATCTTCACACTATTTTGTGTCTCCACTATGTCTTAATATTTTATTCTCAGGCATTCTACCCTGTCGTAATCTTAAGAGATTTCTTAAGATCATTGCCTTAAGGCAAGGATTTTGAGGCCTCTTCTTGTACTTTCATTATCCTAAGGGCCGAATCAATTTTTGTTTAGAGTCGTGATATTGTCGAAAGGAGTGATAGTCGACTACACTTCCTCGAATCAGAAGTCGGTAAGAACAAGTAGGCAGGACAGTATACTGTGACAAGGAACTAACAGAATTCTCTGCGGAAACAAGCTGCCCACAGTAAACAATCCATTTGACGTGTCCTTGTTCTGTGGCTCTGCGCAGGACTGGAGGCAACCTCTGACCTGTCCTGCAACCAATCAGGAAATGGGTCACACTGATTGGGGAACAGCCTTCACAGCAGATCGAACAAGGGCGTTCGGGCTAGATGCGAACACACAGGATGGCCAGGCGTCGCGTCAAAAGCACGGTGAGTCA